GAATTTGGATAAGAAGGAGCCTAGGCAATGACTTCTCATTTTTCCAAGTGAGGTTATGAAGTGGAACTTGAAAAGTCTTCTCTCAGATTTACAAGTCATTACAAAAAGCACCCGTGGACATGAAAGAAGACGAAGGCATTGCTCTGTCTTATTTCAGCTCTGATTCTTTGGCAGAACAGGGGTGGTGGGTTATTTTACCTCTCCTTCACATTCAGAATGTCTGTGGTGTTTGAATGTCTCTTGAAGGCACAGCTCCCACCAACTGATTTGTCTAGCTGTCTTAAGCCAAGTAGCATGAACAGAAGCTAGCTGCCTTCAGCAGCGACGACAGTATACAGCGTATCTTTCTCTGCACTGCTCTCTGTTGCAAGGATGCAAGCATTTGTGTAGCTGCTTCATGAGCTGTGGCAGGGAAATCTGGCTGAATAGATCTCTGCCAAGAAAAAAAGAGGGAGGCGTGGAGAGAGATTCCACCACCTCACTACTCAGCAAGGTTGTTGCCCAGACTCGGTTTGCAGAAGCAGCCCCTCAGCTGTGCCAGCACAGCCGAGGGAGTTGGAGTAGTGTGGAACGAGCCAGCACTAAGAAACTGCGTGTCTGTCATAGGCTTTCCTCTGTGCTGATAATATCTGGTATCTAGAAGTTTAGGCGGATGTCACCCCTGCCCTACAGGTAGGGACAGGAAATTCTGACTTGCCACATGCTGTACTAATGAGTTAGTGACAGGTGGAGCTGTAATGTAGGGCTTGGGAATGAACAGGCGGAGAGTCTGGCTGCTGGATTTCAGTGCTGTCCTCACAGTTACTTTCCTCATTCCAGATGTGCAAGTCCACTCCTGGGTATGTTCTTTCAACAACATCTTAAAGAGGCAGTTGGATCCAAAACCATTCCCCAGCACTAACCAGGTGCTGCTCTCTTGAGTTATTCACCAGTCTGTAGCCAGCCAGGTGGCAATGGAAAGTTAAGCTATGTATGACTGCTCTGTAGTGCACCATGAATGTAAAAGGTGCAGAATGGCCTTTAACATAGGAGCGCTGGAAGCTGGTAGATCCTGGGGAAACACCTTTGGTGATGGGCACTGAAGAGGCATCTGCTAGGAGGGGAACAAAAACCAAATGGGTTGAAGGATAACCACGGGGGTACTAGGCAAATAGGAGTAAAAAGACATTTCTAGTCATAGAAGGTGACAAGGAATGGACAGATTATTAGATAGGTAGTGATGTGAAACAAATTGTGAAGGAACAGCATAGAGTTGTTCTTGCTGAACTGCAGCTGTTCGGGGAACACAGCTTTATTTCTACATGTGTTCTAATTCAAGTATGTTTTCTTTTTACTCCCTCTCACCTCCTTCTGTTTAAGTGAGAAGAAAAATGACCTAATCACCATCCAGCCTTTGTGGCCAAGGACAGGAGCAGGAGTAGGGCTGCCAGGAGGATGGCGTTGCCTGGAAGCTTACAAAGGCAACCTGCAAACAGAGGCCTTGTGTCCCATTTTACCCACCATCATATTGTTGTGTTCCTGCTCACCTTCTTCAGGTAGGTTGAGTGTATCTCTGCACAGAGAAGTGTTCATCTTGCTGAATTTGGAGAGGTAAGGGCATGTCCAAAGAAGAACAGTGAAGGTAGGGAAATAGTCTTAACCTTTGACTGTGAGCCTTGAAAACAAACTTAAAAGCTAGTAGTGTCTGCTGGTTTGGGAGTCCCGTGGTAGTGGAGCCGTGTGTGCTATGCCTGTGGGGAATCCAACCACAAACACACACCAAAGGTGAGGCTGACTGTGCCAAGTGCCAGCAGTCTGTTGCAGAGGGGTGAATGTGGGTGAGTGTGGGGAGGAACTAGCTGAAACAAGGAAGGAAGCAAACCCTGATGCTCAGAACTCTAATGCCTGTTCGGACTGATGGAACATGCTGTCATTGCTTCCGGGGTCCTCTTCTCTCCTGAAAGTGCTGTTTGCAGAGATATTCTGACAACAGCTGGAATACCATACTGCCTCTCCTTACAGACTTTGCCTCCCTGATATCCTTTGATCTTCATGAGTTTATTTTGCTACTGATACCTAATTGGTCTCTGGAAGAGCACTTGTAATGGTGGTTAGTTAGATTAGTGCATTTTCTCTGTATTGGTTGGTTTGTTTTTTGTTCCCCTCCCCCCGAGGTACATAATTGTTGTTGCATAGTCACCTTCTCTTTTGAAAATAAAAGAAGAGGTCCTTTCCAGTCAAGACCCTATTTTGCAACTCCCCACTAAAATCAGTGTGTGTACCCATAATTTGGGGGTTCCCACTGCTGAATGCTATGTCCAAAACTGGCAGTGCTTTGACTTGCTGCCTGCTTAGACAGCATATATCTGTATTTTGAGTCCCTACCCTTTCCTCCTTGACCTCCAGAGGAGATTTGGTCAACCTGTGCTTGTTTGTTTTCTGGCAGTTATTCCCTGCTCCATGCTTCCAGAAAGACGTTCAGTAATGTCAAAGTCAGCATCTCCAGCCAATGGACTCCCTCCTGCCTGAACAGCACGGCCCCTGAGCTCAGGCCCTATGAGGTAAGGACACAGAGGTTGGGCAAGTGCAAAGAAAGATGAGTAACTTCCATCAGGGACACTTCTCAGAATGTGAGCAGGAACTTCAGGTGTCTGAGTTGTAGTTTTCTGGATCATCAGGTGATGGTGAAATAGAGAGAAACATCTCGAGAAATTACAGTGTTCCAATGGAAATGGGGACCCCAGGAGGGTCTCTGTAGGATCCAGCAGCATGGAGGTGGGGGAGGAGGGGGAAAGAGGGACCACACCTCTGAAGTGTTGGAGGCAGTGAATGAGGGCAGTTAATGGGCTTAATCTCTGTAAAACTCTGGCTGTGGCTGACACTGTGTTAAAAGGATAGCCAGAGTAGGAGAGAAGAAAGCTATCTGAAAGTGCTAGCTGCTTTTCCTGAGCTTGAAGAATGACATTTTATTTTGCATCTGAAAGGTCTGACTTCTAAAAAGGCTGAACATCCAGTACCCCTTGTCTGTAAAATCCTAACTTCAGTGACAGTGGTGGGAGTTTTAGCAGTATTTGCTTGCAGAAAAGGAAGTTGTATAGTGCTTCTGCCTCACAAATGAGCATTCAGGAACTACCTCCTGGCTCCTACCTGTAGTCTAAATTTTATGGGCGTGTTTGTTTTCAGCAGTGGCTCGTCCCAATGCTTTTGAGAAGTAGAAGAAATCTTACCTTAACAGCTTTGTGATGGGCTGTGAGATCTATTAGAGCGAGGAGTCCCAAGTCAGTTGCTTGGGTGTTGCCTGCATTAGAAATCATCGGTTACTGGAACGTTTGAGGGATGATTAATGCTGACTTTTTGTGATAACTGTAAACAGTAAATCGGGCCTGTAATGTGTTCAGGATTTTATAGTACAGCAGAAAGGAGTCAGCATCTCAGGGATGCTGAAATGAACTACAAGGTATTTATATTTAGTTCCTTAACTGACATTCAAACAACTAGTATATTTTGGAAGCTGTTTTGATCTTTTTTTTTAATACAGATGATTTAGTGTTTGCTGGTTGTTGAGGTGTATGTGTCTGATCAAGAAAAATGGTCAAAATGGGCCTTTTGGTATCAATTTAGCTTATGTCAGGTAAGTGCATTTTGGGAAATTGATAGAACAGATTAAGGACATGAACAGAGAAGTCACTTACTACAGTTCTTTATTTTTATACTTAAAAATATTTTATTAAAGTATAAGAAAATGTTTTTCAGTTGCTTTGTGCATAGGCCCTAGTATGATTTTATTAGAAGGACAGCTTAGATCTATAATTCTCAGCCTTTAAAGATTTCTGAGTTCTGGGGAGGTTGTTTAATTAGTTGAAGCCTAATGACAAAAGATTTGATTCTCTTGTCTTTCCAAGACTCTTAATAGCTTTTGGACCTCCAGATATCTCTGGTTAAAAGTTGAAAACTACTTGTGTAAGCAGGTATTGGTGGCCTCAAGTGGCAAAAGGAATTTTTCAAGGGATTTATTAGTTTTCTTGGATGCATGAGACTTAAGCAGAAGCCTTAAGCCTCAGTAGGTCTTCCCAATGTTACATCTTTTAAACTAAGTGGATGTGTAATTAGTGTTGTTTGTACAGGATGTTCTCCTGGAGAGGCAGAATCAGACTAAACCTGATGATATTCGAGTTAGGTGCGTCCATAGGTCAGGTCTGGATTGGGTTTATTTGTTTGTTTTCTAATGTGGGCATGGTGAGGAGGGAAGAAAATTGTCCTGATTAACTTTATTTGTTCTTCAAGTCATCCTCAAAGCTTGCTATTTTCAGTGGATGTCACTAATCTTAGTTTGGGGACAATTTTCCCTTTTTTGATCATATTGAAAGTAAAATGAAACTCAGGGTAAGCACAAAAAACAACATTGGTGAATGGAGTTCATTGTAAATAGTTTCCAACCAGTCTATTTTTTCCCCTTGTTCCTTTTGTGTTTTCTTTTCTGTTTGTGGCCTGTCATTGCTTATTATGGTTGCTGCCACAAATACTTTAAGGGAATTATTCATTTAGTGAAGACAGCATGATAAGTACAGAAGAGACACTGCACATAAAACAGAATATGCCTTTATTGTATTATTCATTAAGATGCTCATCAGTGTTTCTGTGTAAGAAGCTGTCTAACAGTTGCATGCTTGTTAGAAGTAGGGTTTGTTTTGACAGTCATTCGTCTTGATCTAGGTGACACAAGCATTTCTCACTTCTGGTTTGCTAGCTTGCCCTTCAGAAGTGAATTGAAGTGGCAGTGGACATTTTGTGCAGGAGATAATGCCAGAATTGTTCTTGATTTGATAATTAAAGTGTTGGAGGAGTGGGAGGTTGCTGGAGCAAGATGCTGTTCTGCTTTGGAGTTGGGGTTTCTGTCAAAAAAGAGTAGAATGAGCTATACCTCTACCTGATAAAATTTTCTCTCTGTAGCTCTGGAATAGCAGCCATTTATTTCCTAATGCAGAAGAAGCAACTCTCTTCTTGGGGACATTGGACACTATCTTCTTGTTTTCCTATGCTGTGGTGAGTAAAACTAACCCAAAGCTGCTAAACTGTGGTTGAATCTTAATTTGGAGGGAATAAACAGGATCTTCTTCTTGGACTTGCCTAGCACTAATGCAGTTAAAAACCTTAATTCAGGAGCGGGTTTTTTTCCTTCAGTTTCTCTTCTGCCCATGCCTGTTGCCCATGTGAAGATTCATGTTAACAAATGCAAGAGAAATACCATCACATCAGAATTTCTCACACCCCTGTCTCCAGGGGGTGGGAGGGCTAATTTTATCTCTCCAGGAGTTCTCAGCTGAAGTTTTTAAAAGTAAGAAATTAAATGAACCACTATGAGCAGGGTTTCTTTGGTGGTGGAAGAAGTGGTTAGAATCAAACTGTAATTTGGTTAACAACAATGTCTGGACCACCTTGGCTCTTGTACATAATTTTAATTCTTACAGATAACAGATAGAAATCTTGTGGCTTCATTTAATGCTGTATTTTGTTCTTAGGGTCTCTTTGTCAGCGGCATAGTTGGGGATCGCCTGAATTTACGCTGGGTTTTGTCTTTTGGCATGTGTTCCTCTGCTCTAGTGGTAAGTCAGAACATGCTAGTGTGATTTAGAAATCTGTCTTAGGGCTTCTGGATAGGGATTTACTTTAGAGGAGGAGAGGCTGTTTCTGAGTGAATCTGCCTATGAGCTGTAGCTGTACATCAGTGATCTCAACGTCTGTGTGCAAAACTGTGTCCTGGATGCACTTTTTGCATTGTCTAAAGCATAGAGCTATGCTAGATGACTCACCTCTTCCTGAAATGTCTATTTATGGATACTGTGTCATGAGGAAATTCCTAAGTTTGAGGCACCGTCTAGAGACTTGATGAGCAGCTTTTGTACAAGATTGGTGTATTTGGACTTATTGGGATTGTTTTGTGCTATGAGTGTTCTTCCAGCCCACGTATGTTGTCATCAAGGGTTTTTGCTTCCAACTGCAATCTTTCCACCCTTCTTTAAAGGACATGCTAACAATATTAAGCATTCATCTAGTTATTTTATAATTTATGATGTGTCAAAAAAGAATATCCTCTTAAAACAAAAGAGTTCTTCAGGTTCAAGCCACTGCAGATGAATGTGAATCAGTTTTATCTCAGTGGTTTTCTGGTTATTCAAGTCGTGGTAAAATGCGTGGAGAGCTTTTGATTTACCCAGTGGCTACAAACCCCACTATGGCCTATTGCGTTCTGCAAACACATGACCACAAACATGCATCAAGCACGGTTTGCCACCAAGTGTGTTTATTTTGGCTAGTTTGGGTTAGGGCTCTTAGTAATTTGAGACCTGACTGTAGTATTTATGTTAAATTTTGCTAAGATAAATGACTGCTGAGGGTTTTGTGTTTGCATAGAGCCTTGTGGATTTGAATGTCAGTACAATAGCAGATCAGGAGGATACTGTATTTTTAATGTTGTTACTGAAAGTATTTGTCTCTCTCTTCCCCTCTCCTGTTATAACTGTGCTGTTTACAGAGATAAAAGTCTTCTGGAGTGGAAGTGCACTGACAGCATATTTGTCTCTGGAGTTGTTTGGGCTCTGGAGTCAGTGCAGTGGTGCCTCAGCAGAGGGTGCTATTAGTTCTGAGCTGTTTCTTAAACAATGCCAGGCTTGCCTCTGGCCTGGCCCCTGCAGGGGTCCTTCTCCCTGAAATGTTACTTCTTTTAGGACCCCACTCCTGCCTGGCTTTCAGCAGTAGCCTCAGGGCTTCTTCTGTGTTCTTTCCGCCCCCTCCCCCCAGGTATTCTTCTTTGGCACGCTCACAGAATGGCTGCATTTCTACAACAAGTGGTTCTACTGCTGTCTCTGGGTTGTGAATGGCTTGCTGCAGTCCACTGGCTGGCCCTGTGTGGTTGCTGTCATGGGCAATTGGTTTGGAAAAGCTGGGTAAGTTGAGTTTTTTTTCAGTGACTCACTTATCTGACCTGCTCAGTAGCAGATTGAGCTGGAAGTCTCAAACCAAAAAGGCCAACTGTTAGGTCAGAATCGAAGTTAAAGTTATATGGGATGAAATGTGCCTTACTTGTGACTTTTTTTTTTGGTCTGGAATCACAGAACAGCTTGGTGTGAACACAGTTGTGTGTGTTAAAGGCAGAGGTTCAAACTTCAAAAGTCCTGTAGTGCAGAGTGGCTGATTTTGCATTTTCATGCCACTGGAAAACCTGTTTCTGTCTGCTTACCACTGATCAAATGGATAGACTTGATTTGATCAAGTCTAGACTTGATAGAATGGATTTGATCAAATAGATCAAATGGAAACTGACTCATTGTGGGTTCAACTCTGTCACTTTGGGGTATTGCAGATGCGCCCTAGCCATATCTTGTAACCCTGTTGTTGCCAGCTCGCCTCTGCTGTAGCCCAGGTGCTTCAGGATAGAACATTCCTCACTTATCTGTTTGGTATCCTCAAGTTATTCTAAGTGACCTTTGAGACACTTTGAAGTGGACTGGGGGAATGCTGTAACTTTATTTGTCAGTTAAGTTCACTTGAATGTTGTATCTTTGTTTTGCTCCTGATGTGACCTCTACCTACATTGCCTTTTCCAAATTTTCTTCCTCTTCTGCAGGAGAGGTTTTGTGTTTGGACTCTGGAGTGCCTGTGCATCTGTGGGAAATATCCTTGGGGCATTCCTTGCCTCCTGTGTTCTCAAGTATGGCTATGAGGTAGGTATTGCTGTCTGGATTCTAGCTTGGACTGCATGTCTGATTGGATTATGAGAGACTAGTTACTCGTCCTGTCTCTGAGGGATAACAGGCTCACAGTGTCCAGTTTCATCTTCCTGGATTCCCTGGTAGGGAACAGAAGGCAGAATAGTAGGCAGAATAGAAAGGGTTTTCCTTTCCTGACCCTTCCAAGTTGGGAGAAATGAGCCTGCAACTTCTCTGTAAACGGGACTGATGTTATTGAAGAGCCCTAGTGTCATAGTATACCCTCTTCTGATTTGGGTGGCTTAAAGTGCTCATCCATCACAGATTCTTGCTTAACTGAAGTCAGTGCTGATGAATAATAGTGAAGTTCTGCCAGGCATGGAAGCATAGCTTCTGTAACTGGGAGGAGGCCAGATATGCACCGTGTTGCTGCAGTGTGTCAGGCAGGCAGTTGAATACAGGGAATGTAAGTGAACCAGCACATCTCGCAGCCTGTGACCTATGAGGAGAGGCTAACAGAGCTGAGCTTGTCACTCCAGGGATGAGGAGGCTTAGGGTACCAAATAGCAGCCTTCCAAAGCCTGTGAGAAGATTGCTGAGAAATCAGAGCCAGACTCTTTCCTGGGTTGCGTGGTGAGAGCGCTGAAAAGCAGTGGGTGTAAAGTGAAGCAGGGATGGTTCCAACTGGGTGTTTGGAAAACTATTTCACTGTGAAGTTAGTTAGGCATTGTAACGAGGGGCCAGAGCCTGGAGGATCTCTCTTTGGAGAATTTCAGGACCTGATTGAACAAAGCCCTGAGCAACCTGGTCTGATTTTGATGTTTGAGCCTTCTTTGAGCAGTCCCTTCCAATATAGCTGGATCTGTGGTTGTGTTGGCTGAGCTCCTTCATTGCTGCTGTCACCTCAGTATGCTAAAACAGCTGTTTCTATGTGGTCTTTCAGCCCAGATGAACCAAATCTGTTCAGGAGATGCAGAGATCGCTTGTTTCCAAGTTTTATAGATGTAGTCTGGGTGGTTGTAGCTGTGTTTACTTTCTGACAAGGTTGGAATGGAAGGAAACGCTCCTTAGTCAGGGAAGCCTAAGTCACTGAAAGTGTTTTTAAAAATAACCATTTGTTTATTTGTTTATCTTCAGTATGCTTTCTTGGTGACTGCCTCAGTACAGTTTGCTGGAGGAGTTGTTGTCTTCTTTGGGCTCCTGACTTCACCAAAGGAAGTGGGTAAGTAGAAGAGGGCTGTAGCATTTCAATCCCTTCATGCAAAGCAGATCTGCAGCTTTCCATGTAGTACTAGAAGTACTGCTCGTTCTGACAGCACTTACCCTCAGGGCTCTTATAATATGGTCTTGCACTTTAGTGTATTTAATGGAGCAAATGCTTTACTTGCCAAGATCACACTAGATACCACTGTACATCATTTGTATAGGGTCTGGTTATTTTAGAAAGCTAAATAAAACAGCCTAGCTCTAACATCTCCATTAGGATGTCCCTAATTATCAGGTTTTCTTCACCTGGAAAATCGGTTTGTTTGGGTTTTTTTTAAAGAAACAGTAGGCAAACCGATAACTGGCTATTGTAGGAGAAAACTGTGGTAAGCCTTAACTGTGCAGTGGGAAGGGAAGGTACTTTTTTGTCTGCAGGCCTCCTGCAGCTGGTTAAATAGCTCTCAAGTTGGATATGATCCTCTGAGAAGACAGTAGGCAAGCCAAAGTGTAACAGGAAAACAAAAGAACTTTGGGGCTTTGACGGGGCCATAGAGGAGGTTTCCCAGGTGCCTGCAAAGGCTATAAAGTTGGTAGCACTAAAGCCACCATAAAGAGTGCTCGTAAGAGCTCTCAGCAGCCCAGAAAGTGCAGGGCAGTTCCTAGGGTTTCCGTTCCAGTGGCGGCGTTAACAGGCAGCAGCTGTCTGAGGAGCTGCTGGTGCACTCGGCCTCCACGCCCAAGGGAAGTGGTAGCCAGGATCCCAACCACTAAAGAAGGGGGGAAATGCACTAATTTGTTGTGTCTTCCAACGAATGGCCAGACACTCAGAACAGACAAAAGCCGACGCCAGGATCAGACAGAATACTTTCAAGAGCGCTAGAAGACAAAGGGTAGAAACTGGCAACACTGCAGAGCACCATCTAGAAGAGTTTCTAAGCCAAAGGAGGATGGAGGTATGGGACAGCAAGGGCATTGCTAGAAGGGAGAATTGCTTAAAAGAAGCGAGCATAGCTTTAGAGTGGGGAGAGGGTAAGCAGGCTCTGGTCCGTTTTTCCTGTTGCATATCCCTTGTAAAACTTAGGCCTCCCTGAGCTTGGAGCGGATGATGACAGCAGTGTGGAGGAAGATGCCAACAGACCTCTAATGGGCAGTGATGATGCAGAAGATGATGACCAGAATTACTCTGTTCAAACAACTGATGCTGACAACCAGCCAAAGGCCATTGGCTTTTTCCAGGCTTGTTGCCTTCCGGGTGTAGTACTGGTGAGGACACAGATTCTTGAGATCTGACTTATATTGTTAAACAAGAAGCTGACTTTTTGTGGTGTTGGCATTTGTTGACATCATTGTTAGTACGTTGGCCATGTGCTGTAGTTGTTGACATTTGACTTCTTACGCTGTTAAAACCTTGCGCATGGATCATCGTACCGTTCGGGTGTGTGGCTGCATGTTGCTCTTCTCATCGAACTCCTGCTTCATTTAGTGCATATAACGAGCCAGCTAAGGGCAGGAGGATCCCACCCTTTTTGCTGCTGAATGGAGAAGGGAGGCCATGAGCAAAGGTGGCTGTAGAATGCTTTCTTGGTAAGGTAGCTACACTGCCCTGAGGAATGGGATTCTCACTGATAGCTGAGCATCACACAGAACTCTGTGGCACTGATACTGCAGTTTGGGTTTTTTTAGTTGCCTTAAAGCAGAAAGCTGGCCTCAAAAGCCTCAATCAGCACGATGTAACATGTGGCAAAGTATGTGCATTTTTTATAAACAACTGGACACAAGGCCTAGTGATGCAGTTTCCACAGATCCTCATCCTGTCCCGTGTGTGAGAACTTGTACTTCTACATCAGCAGTATTGCCCAATTAATGGATTTGGTTGAGCTGAAAAATAAACCTGCCATTAAAAAACAATGTTAACTTTCTGTGTCAGTGGGCTCTGTGCCCCCTGAATACTGGAACCAGTACAAGAAGTGGGGCAGAGTGGCTGGCTCAGTAATACAGTGTGAACTGTCTGGATTTAGTCGCGAAGGGGGACTACTGAATGGACAGTATTGTCAGATACCCTTAGTGGGTGAAGCAGTTGGCTGTTGTGATTATGCCAACACAAAATCTGGAAGGGAGGGGTGGATTGTCAGTGTTTAGAGTGCTGGACAGCCACAGTTCTGCTGTTAAGACCTTAGTTGAGGGACGGCAAAAGAAAGCTTATCCATCTTGAGTTCTTTCCTAATTTGGCTAAATACCGTAAAAACTATGGCTTGTTTTTGGTAGTGCTAAGAACGGTGCTAAAGAACCTTTAGGCAAAATTTCTTAGTGGGGGAGGCTGTCTTAATTGATGTGTGACTTTTTTTCATTGGCCAGAACTACAGATGTACTGTACAACTGATGCTGCTGTTTCTGTACTTGGGATTTTGAGGACGTGTTCTGTGCGTTAACCCAGCAACATGAACACCAGAGTCTGTGAGTTTTATCTGATGTCAGATCAGTGCCCAGCCAAACCAGGACACTGTGTCAGATCAGTGAGAGACCAGATACTGAGAGAACCTCCAAAGCCTTGTCAAGATTCTACAAAGGCTTTATTTTTCATATTTTTTCTGTGGTTCCTTCTCCTGCTGAGTGATATGGTGGAAGAGTTTTAGTACGGAAGTTTTCTCCTGAGCATCTAGAAATTCAGTGTTTAATCAGTCAGACAATCTGGTAGACAGTTTCTCAGCATGTTGTAATAAATATTGCTTCATACAGTGCACTTTTCACACCCAGAGGCAGGACAACTCTACCAAACATCCCTGTGTCTTACATGTATGGTAGAGATTAGTTTGTGTCCTGGAAGAGTGGAAAAGCATTAATAATACAGCTAAAAATGATGTATCTATTAAAATAATATAAACTCAGAAGAGATGATTTTTTGGAGTTTAAGATATAAAAAGATCTGCTTTTTGAAATTCAAAGACAAGTGTGTACATACACATATACATACAGTCTCAAAAGCTGTGATTCTAGTAGGCTGTTTTTTCTGCCTTCATCCTTGTTTACCTCCTCAAACATGGCTTCCTTGAACTGCTGTGTTGGTGTTTATCAGGAGGCCTTACTGAAATAGTGTGCCTTGTCCCTCTGCCTGCTGGGCCAGCAATCCCAGAGGACAAATCTTTGCCACTCACGTGAAAGCTCTTAAGGAGGAGATCTCCTGTTAGCTAAGGAGAACCTGAGCCCAGCAGCCAAAAGCAGGAGGTTGTCTCAGCTGTTGGGTTTGGAGGCATGTGCTTGGCCTTGGCCAAGCCTTTCATCTTGTGTCCTGGAGGGTATGAATGAAGCTTTCTCTTCTGGTGCTGTAAGCAGATGAGCCTTCTGAACAGCAAAAGATAGCACAGAGGAACTACTTCGCATAACTTTTCTCAGCATGATGCACAGATGACTAAATCTCAAGCTTGTTTCATGTCACATGGTTGGCTCCCTTATCTTCAGAAGGTGAATTAAATTTCCTTCAGTTTTTGAAGCCTGGTGTTATTTCCTCTCAAGATTACACTGAAAATGTTTTAACCCATTGCATTCAGTGAAAAGAAAATAACCTCCTTGACAGCCATTTTTGTATTCCTGGGTTCCTTTGATGTTCAGCATTAAGCTTTCATAATGCTGCCTTCTTACATGAAATGCAGAAGCACTTTCCCCTGAGAGCTTCAGCTGGATACAGAGCTTAATGGGAAGAAGCAGGAACACTGTTTGCATTTCTCACTAACTGCTTGCTGGCCCTCTCTTTGTTCCAGTACTCTTTAGCCTATGCCTGCTTGAAACTGGTGAATTACTCCTTTTTCTTCTGGCTGCCCTTCTACCTCAGCAACAACTTTGGATGGAAAGAAGCAGAAGCTGACCAGCTCTCGATCTGGTATGATGTGGGAGGAATCATAGGTGAGTGAACAAGTGAACGATGTCTTCCTGCAGTTATCCTGCTGGTGTTTGAAAATGAAAGACAGCAAAGGCAGCTCAGAGCAGTCATGTTCAGTTGGATCTAGCTGTTTACTGAATATATGAAAAGGCTAGTGATGTGTGTGGCTGCTTGGCTGGTTTAGGTTTTTTGGGGTTGTGTTTTGGTTTTTTTCCCTAAAACACAGAGTATGTGAGCCCCCTAAAAAGTTTACATATAGTTTAAAGCACACCTTGTATTCTTGGACATTGTCCCCACTGGGCATTTTTCTTTACTCACTAGGACTTCTTGAAAAGTACTGTGTACAAAATGGTGTCCTTGCTGCTTGTTGCTTCCTTTCTGACAGGCACCCTTGAGGGAGAGCTTAGATCTGAACTCAGTGGGTTCTGTACTGTCCTTTCTGACCTGTATTTTTAAGAGCAGACTCAGCACAGATCTCAGCAGAGCAGGCACAACTGTGTTATGTTCAGAAATAAAATGTAATTGCACTTGTTTTGCTGGCTGCAAAATCTGACCCTGTTCCTCCAGAATAAAGAACTATTGTATATGTGTTTAGGCTTCCACTCTCCTGTGCTCAGTTTCTTGCTTTATTACCTTGTCCAGTTAGCTTTCCTAGAATAGACATCCTTGTTTTGGTCTGGTTTTAGGGTCAGGTTTTTCTGACTCTGTAGCCTTTTCTATGTTAGGCTTTCTCAACTTTCTGTTTTTTACCAGCAGAGCAGTTCCTGCAGAGGCAGCAATGATACATAAGGTGATATTTATCAGCTCTCAGCATTTGTTGCAATTAAGTGCTCCTACCCTAAGTAGGTGAAACAGCAGGGAATGTCGGGCCCCTGTATGCTAATACTTTCCCTGTGAAAAAGAACTGCCTTTTCCTCCACTTTCTGCTAAAGAAACCAGCCACGGTGTTAAGCTTGCTTACATCCAGAGTGGTGGTGATCCTAGAGCTGTGATGGTCCTATAGGGGAAGGAAAAGGAATGCAGGAGCATTGGCTAGTTGTGTGCCAGAAAAAAAGAAGTAATAAATTCCTGGGAAAGCAGTATGAGTAGTTTTCCCTGCTCTGTCTGAGCCCCTTAAGTTTACTGATGTCTCTGTGTCTGGGGCAGTCAGGGCAGGTGACTTAGTTTTCAGGATTTTAGAGAGAATGCGTATTGATGTGAAGGTAAGAGGCCACTGCACTCAGTAAAATGAGTTTTGCTCAAGGTGTAATAAGCATCCTGAAACTATTGGTGATTTGTTTGTTTGTTTGTTTGTTTGTTTGTTTTAGGTGGGACTATCCAGGGCTTGATTTCTGATGTGCTTCAGAAGAGAGCCCCCGTGCTAGCAATTAGCCTGCTCTTTGCTGTAGGCTCTCTTTTTGGATACAGCCGTGAGTATGCTTTTGCTGCGCAGTGATAAGAGGTTCGTTCAGTAGTACTTGGAGAGAACCAGAGCACAGCCTGTTCTAATTGTATTTTCTGGTCTTGAAACTGCTTCTGGATCAGGATGATGCCTTTTGTTCTATTTTGCCTGAAGTGTGGCACTGCACAGGAATAAATCTGTTCTCTGGTTAATGAGGTGGAAAAGAATTAGCTGTGTGGTTGGATTTCCCTGTACTGGTGAGTTACACTACTGGTCCTTCTCTAGTGTCAGTGAGATTTTTGGCATCATCATTGTATCAACACCACACCTGTCAGAGCAGGAAATCTCAGGTGCATCCCTGTAGTAAGAGGAAAGAGAATCTGCAGACAGATCTGTGCTGGAGTATATATACACTACAAAGAGGCAGAAGCTCTTAGTCTTCAACACTTAAACTTCTGTAAGTGGGGAAATTGAAGAGTTTCTGCATCTTTTATAATGGGTATAGTTCTTGGTGACTGGTTATTGAAATGAGTCTGTCAGGAAAACTGAGTATGAAGAGACAGGCGCATCTCATGTCCATGGAACATCTATGAAGCTCTTCTACGGGTTACAGTTTTGGGTCTTCAGATGTGGTGTCCTGTCGTACTAGAGTGCTTTAACTCACTGGGATGCCGTTTCTCTGCCCTGTGTCTTCCTCCAAAATGGAGTGGTGATACAGACCAACTTTTATAGAGCACTTTGAGCTCTGTGGACAGAGATTGCTGCCAGAGATGGACATGAACAGTGAAGTGTGCCTTTCAGAAGCATGCTGGCTTACTCGGGCAGTCTCAAACTAAGGTCAATAAGGTATAATTGTTAAATAGCAAGGATTGAGTTTGGTGGAGTTTTGTAGGCTCTTGTGCTAACTCATTACTTTCAAAAGTGGATTGGAAGCAAATATAAAATTATTGCTGACAAAGTTTGAAGTTTGTTCTAGATAGCAGAGCAGCCAGAGGGTCCAACTGTCTTGTGCTTAGCTCTGTCCATCCAGATACAGAAGGCTGAGACAGATAATACAAAGTTACTGCAGTGAGATAATTAAATTTCCATCAGCCAGCCCAGGAAACCTTTGCATGTTGTACGTAAGAGTAAATAATAGCCTGAGCATATGTAAAGAAGGCTGCCACTTGCCCTGCCCATGGTAACTTGACCATATGTGGGCCCTAAGTTGAAGCAGTGAGTAAGGAATTCAGGTGATGCCTGGAAGTGAGGTTTCGGGGAAAACAGTGTCTGAAAAGCACTGAGAGTCTGCAGTGGAAAACCAGCTGCATGTGCACGGTATGATGCTGTTCCTGGAAAGCCAAGCAGCCCTTGTAAATACCCAAGCATGGCTTTGTAAGGAGGAGTGAAGATATGGGCTTTTATATTTTTTACTTGATTGTGCAGCATTGTTTAGGCAGTTGCTGGATTACTACCTCCAGATCTAATCTCTATATTTTGGAAAATTCAGAACAAGTGGAAGAGTGATTCAAGTGCTAAATACTTCATGGTGGTAGAGATTGAGTTGAGTGTTAACTTCCCCGGAGAGACAGAGGGAGGAATCTTTTACTGTTCAAATGGACTTTCAAGGAGGGTAAATGTGAGCTTTGTGTCATAGAAAGGGGCATAACAAGGGCTGGAACCCAGAGCCAGGCAAATCTGATATGGAAATAGGGCACAAAATTTTAATGGCAAATGTGCCTTCTACATAAAGTGCTGTTGGGAAACTTCTGGGTCTTTAGTCTCTAAATGCCTTTGCAGTACGACTAATCTCTATAGAAGTCTCTAGTCAAATAGGAGTTGTTGTCCCTGTGTAGCTAATTGAACAGGCAGTTCAAACTGGATGTTTGCAGGCTTCTTTCTGATTCTAAATAAGTGGCTTTCTCAAGTTCATCTGTTTTATTTACACTCATCTGGTCTTTCTCTTGCAGGTTCTCCAAACAGCAAACCTATTAATGCTGTGATCATGGCAATTACAGGTATCTTATCAAATGCCACTGTTATGCTAGTAGACACGTATATACGTTGCAGAAGAATCAGTAACACCAGCCTCACGTGGTGGTATTGCATTTTTGTGCGCTGCCATCTCTGCTGCTTTTGCACAGAGAGTAAAAGCTGGGGCCCAATTTCTGTTACTTTTGGAATTCAGCTGTAGGAAAGCTGCCTTTCAGAGGGAGGTATAGAATATATACTGCATAGAATAATGTCCTCGAACCAGAGGGATCTGCTGTGGCTCAGCATGATGAGGATGGATTTATGCCAAAATACCTAGCAGCGATCTGGTATTGGAGGAAGTGTACATATGGCGAAGTCCTGAGCGGCAGCTCAAATCTCAGGGTGTTTGTATGTCAGAACCCCAAATGCCCTGTGTACTGTGAGAAGTCCCAAGCTTTGTGTGCTACCAGACATACTGTGCTGTGTTATGGAATTAAGATTAGCCTGCTTGAACAGAGCCTTTCTTTTTAAAAGCTCCTACTTCAGAACTCTGTCCTGTCTTGGGCTTTTTTTGCCTTCCATCTCCTCTATGAACCCCAGAGCCTGAGGCTGTAGCATGGGGGTATACTACTGCAAAGCAGAAATGTGTCTAAATCTCCTTCATGTCCAGGGTTTGTATACGCATGCTGTTCAGAAGTGGCTTTCTGTATGCAGTTTGGTGCATCCTGACTTCTTGCAGAGTGTGCCACAGCTCATTACCTAATTTTTGCTGTTGGATGAAAAGACACTTGTTGGCAATTTCTGTGTGCGTACTTCAGGTACGCAAGGTGTGCCGTGACCACACGCTTCAGCTGCGAGGGTACATGTCTACCTACAATTAGTCTGTGATCGCTGTCCCTAGACTTAACCCTTTTCCAAGGGCTTTGCATGGTAGAAAATCTGTGTTTTGAAGACATTCTGTGTAGAATCTATCCTCATGCTTGTTTTGCACCAAGACTGTTTTCTTGGGACTTTCAGGATTTTTCATCGGAGGCCCTTCTAACATGATCAGTTCTGCAATTTCTGCTGACCTGGGGCGGCAGGATCTGGTGAGAGGCAGCAGTGAGGCTCTGGCAACAGTCACGGGAATTGTGGATGGAACTGGCAGTATTGGTGCTGCAGTGGGCCAGGTGAGGCTACCAAAGGAAAACAGTGGTCTGGGGAAGGAGGCAAAGTGTCTGTTATGGTTAGAGATGTTAGCTCGTTCCTCAGTCCAAAATTGCATGGAGAGAGAGAGAGAAAGAGAGGGTTGGTTGGTTTTTGGGGTTTTTTTTGAGAAACAACCAAGGCAACATGTGTGTTTTAAGCTTCCAGTGGAAGCAATTTAATTAAGAACTAAACTAAGTATTCATAGTGCTAATGTTATAGCACTTTCATAATTCAAATGAATTTTAGAGACTTTCATATCCTAAACTCCAAAAAGCAAGTAGAGGTCAGCTTCACAAAGAGTGAAAATAAAATATTTTGAAGTTTGTTTGGGATATTTTTGTTAAAAGGTAATAGCAAAACCTTTGCTTACAGTAAAGTTTCCATGTATAACTGAGTAAAATCAGAATGCCTGTTATGAATGTTACAGTGTTTATAAAGTAATTTAAAATTTGCTCTTATTTGTGGTTCCCCTTTTCATCTATGGATGTCTTTTACACCTTGTAAATCTAGCACCACTTGCTTTGATAGTCCTTACCCTATGCTGCCAGAGGCCTGGAGACTAGACTGTTGCAGAAAAGGAAACTGACAGTGTGCCCACCGGGGACATTCTTTCTTCTCAAATACAAGCGTTAACTATGTGGAAGAACACAGTGGTGCTTTGGGGAGGGGAGGATTTAGTGGAAAGATCGGAGCCAGTTCTGTTCCAGGCATCCTCTAGTGCTGGTAATACCCCAAGGATGTAGGCAAGGCATACAAGTTTCTTTTCTGGAAAGGGATTTGGGTTTGTAGTTGCTGTTGATTGCCTGATAAATACAATCATTCAGTCTCTGTCGTAGGAAAGATGCCGCTTAGCTCCATTAAACATGGAAAATTACAAGTGCTTTGTGAACATCTTAAAGCACACTGTTCTACTCAGTGTTCTTCTTGCATTGTCTACAGTGCTTCTGTCTTCCCCCACACATACCATTCAGACTTACGTCATCATAAAAATCGGGTCTTTAGTTCTGAAAAATTCCACCTGCCTCCCATTCTAACATTGCATTTATTTCAACAGAGACACCCATGATGTCATTCTGGGGGTGTGTGAATAACAGCAAATGCACAATGAACATGTTAGAAATTCAGATCCTGTTTTGTGCTAATGTACCCAGCAGTGAAGAAGGGAGGCCCTTGTCCAGCATCTGAATATAACTCTGCTAATAGGGAATACATTTTCTTTTGTAGCCCTCGTTGTCCTGTGGAACTGGGATGCAGTTCAGAACAGACTGTAGTCTGAAGTGTCTTGCCAACGATGAAGGGTTAAGTAGTTACTGGTTGCACAGCTCTTGAAAATGCGTCCCATGTAATTTATAAGCCATTCTAGAGCTTTTAGTTCTTCTGAGAGTACTTACATCCACTTATGTCCCAGTGTTCTGTGCAAAAACCTTGTATTCAGCGGAGTCAATTTGTCACCCTTTGAAACTGTAGTTCTGTTCTGTCTTTATGCTGCTATGAGTTACTGTAAAGCTTCAGGACAGTATCTCTGCTTTGCTGAGACTGGGGGTTTTATACAGAAAGGCTGCTGTCCTGAGTCATCTCTTGACAGGAAAAGATCAGCTGGAAGGTTTTGTGCTCAGCTCTTTATGGAGTGTTAACAGCCCACAAATTCTAGAAAATGAGAGAGTAATGCCTGAAAGTCATGCTTGTCTTCCCAGTTTGAATAATTTTTTTCTCCCCTTTCTTTTTAGTATCTAGTGTCTTTGATCCAGGAGAACCTGGGATGGATGTGGGTTTTCTATTTCTTTATTTTAATGGTAAGAAATCTCCTTTTTAAAAATTCCTTGTCAAAGTTCAATTTGCAATAGACAGTGTTTGTGAGAACCTGAAAATTGTGACCTAGGCATGCAATCTCTTTCTGCAGCAGCTGCAAACTCAGATGCCATTGGTCTGTGCTCCAAGTGGTCTGTGCTGTGCCTTTGCCTCGGGGTGTCTAAATTAACCGGGTCCATTTTGGATCCTTTAAAGTCATGTTGCCCGTCTATCACTGGGAGCGAAGACCGTTCAGGCCCTGATCTCCTCAGCATGGCCACAGTGGTGAATGCTGTACAATTCACCTGTTCTTCCCTGATGGAAGTGCCAGGAATTGTCTTTGCACCTGTGCAGACAAAGGGAAAAGGCCACGTTGGTAACCAGCAGAGGTGGCCAAGGAGGAATGCCATTGAGGAGGTGAAGAGCTTGTCTTCTTTATGAAAAGAAGATCATTCCAGCTGAAATCAGATGAGCTTTCCTACAGGCTTAGTCCTTCCATCTGCTGTGCCACTTTGTCATCACTTCTCTTGGCCTGGATGTTTTTGGGGAGGCCTTGAATGCACGCTGGAGCGCAGAATGGCTGCAGCTACGGTTGCTCTGTGCTAATTGTTCTGTATGTGCCTCTTTTCACAGACGAGTTCAACAGTCCTGTTCATTTCACCATTAATAGCGAGGGAGATCAGATTGCTTCTGCATGAGCGGCGCCTGCGAACGCTGGCTGAGTGACTCCTGCTTGCCTCTGGAAGGACAGTTGTACACACCTGACAGCTGGGACACTAAGAAAAACTCTGGGAGGCTTGTTTCTTCATCCAGGTTTGGACTAATTCAAAATGGCTCTGCAAGACTTGGTTGACCTGCCTTTGCAAGCTCAATAGGGAATTACCAAATACCCGTCCTGAGACCACCCGCATCACGGAGCTGCTGATCTAGACAATCCACAGGGCTGGCAGATTGTCCCAGACTCTTCCATGTCAGCAGTCACACTAGGGTCTTCTGTTGGGTGGCCTCACTCCTATACCCTTTCTTATTTATTTCTGGATGTCCTGACCAAAGGTCAACTGTTTAAAACTGAAGGTAGAGAGGCTGTCTTGCAATGCATTTTTATGCTCTGTTGTGCTCATGAAATCATACAGTGCATTTCATGGGTAGTCTAAATCAATGGTTACTTTAGCTTTTAGAAAGGGCAAAAATAATTATTTGGAATTTGCACCATCCAGCTGTTTAAAAAATGCTGTTGCTAAATCTCTGCACAGACAGACCTCTGCTATCCCTAGCTATTAACTGTCAACGTATTCCAGTAGCTTCACGTGGAGAGGTTACCTCCATATTTGTTTTTAGCATTTTTTAATAATAATATTACTAATCTCTGGGAAATGAGATTTCAGTTTTTAACTATTTAAGCAGGCAAACAGTGTGCAATACTTTACTGTGATCTCTGAGAATAAGCCTTAATAGATCCTTTGTGTCTAAAGGATGCTTGAATGGCTTTGGGGATCAGTAATGGGACACAAATACTTTCACTACTGCTTTGTTATTTGAACTCTGATCAATACTGACCAAACTGGGACTGTCAGGTGACCCTCTGAAAGAAGCTGGTGTCACTGATTTCATACTCATTGGGCAATTGCTCCTCTCCAGCAAAGGAGAATAGAACGGAATCCAAGGAATTTAAGGGACCTGGCTGCTCATGGACATGGGCTTCCAGACAGGGACTGATGCAAACTGTGGAACAGCATCAGTGGGCAGGTGGTGCTGTCTTCCCCCGTGCTCCTCCGCCCATGGCTGTGTAGGGGACCTCAAGCTCCAGGGTTTTAAAGGTTGAGTTGTATCTTGAAGAGAAATGTAGATGCAAGTCGGCGCTAAAAACACGTGGCTGCACTTAGCATGGTGGTACTTGAGTATTTTGCAGTACTGCCATAAGCAGGGTGACTGACTGACACCTCTGACGATTTTTGGTGATGTTAATGGGATTGTCGAGTAACTTCTCAACAAACTGTTTTCTGCTTATACCTTGGGATGTTTCATTGTAATAGGTGTGTGTTACCAGCAGAACTTCTGATCAAACACTCAGTCTAACTAGTCAGTGATGCCTGGATGAGGCTGGGGTGCAGGGAAGTTCTTGGAGCTGAAAATTTGAAACTTTTTAAATGGGAAAAGTAGCCTTTTTAGAATGTACAGTGATTTTATTTCTTTTTTTTTTTTTAAATTTATGAATGTCATTTTTTAGTCATGTGTTGATTGTAATAAGTGAAACATTTAGTGCCTTATGGTTTTACTGTATTGAGCGGTTGCTTGGTGATTGCTGCTTCTGCAGTGATGGTTCTGTGCACAGCTTCGCTCGCTGTGAAGCTCCATTTTTATACTTTTTTTTTTTTTTTAGAGTCTCTTTCTTGGTGGAGACGATTCCTGCATTTTTTGTGAACCCTCAAAAAATTTCAGTGCTTGGGAAAACGATGCCATTGAGCTGATGAGGGACTGGAATCCTGTTCTTGTCTCTTCTCATTCCCATTCCAATTTTCGCCTGTGTAATTAGAGCAGGAGACTGAGAATCTATCATCCTGTTCTCAGAATGATGCCCTGGGGTTAGTGTTCACATCCCAAGCTACTCATTAGCCCCTGTACAAATAGAATCAAAACTCCCTGAAATCTAGTTCCAGAATTGATGGCGGCACCGTTTACCCAGCCAATGTGTCTGAGAATCTGGTTTCAAATTCCAACCGGGATGAGCTTTTTGGCCGTCTGGCTGGGTGCTAGATAAGCTTCTGATGAAAGGTGGGGTGGGAAGGGGACGTGTCTGGGGCCGGGGGGAGGAGAGGCAAGCCCCTGTAACAAATGGTTTCCTGTGAACAGTTCTGTCCCCTCTTGAGAAGTGTCAGACGTGTCGGGAGCGCTGCAAGCACAACTGCCCAGCAGCTCGTGCGGCGGTGCTTTGAGGCCACCCTCAATTAGCGAGGCGTGCCTGTGTCTTCGGGATTGCTTTGTTGTTGTTGTCCTGGGTTTTTGGTTCTGTGTATTTCCTCAAGGTGCTCAGATGGAGAAATGTTTTCAATCTGATCATGTCCAAACTGATCTCTCATGAATAAACTTACTTTGACTTGATCTGTGCTAATTCTTGTGTGTGCTTTCCTCCCGTCTTCTCGGTGCGGTTCTGCTGAGTGTGCTTCTCTTCCTCCTCATTACAGGCCTAGCTCTAACAGTTGCTTTTCACTCAACTGCTGTGAAGACCTGAGCCCTGACTAATACTGACATCAAATGCTGACATCCCAGCCCAAAAGGGAGCCATGTCCCGCATGCTGTGGTTTGGCACTCTTCCTGATCAGTCTCATGAGAAGCTTTGCGAGAGTCCCGTGACAGAGGTGTAATTAATGTTCTTAAATAAAGAAGCCAGAACATATACTTAGTTTTATCTATTTATTTGTTGATCTGCAAGTGGAAGTCAGGTGTCCTTCCCTTGAAATGAAATGTGCCATGTGGCTGCTGACCCTGCTGTGCCTTCTCTCCTGTGGCTTGTTTCTTTAAACACAAATCCACACCTAGGCTTAGCTGTGTTTAATGGACACAGTGGGGAGCTTTGTAATTGTGTTTGTGTTTTACAGTTTGCAGTAAATTCAGAGTTGAGCACAATACAGGATTGCTGGAGAAACCCCCACGCCTGCATGTTCTGGTCCCTCAGCTCCAAGTAGTTTGTCTGTGCTACAATGCTATTCCTCAACAAAAGCAGCAATTCATGTTTTTACCCCTTTTCTGTCACTTATTTTTTTCCTGCTCATGAGGAACTTTCCAGCCTACTCTGGAAGTACTCTAAGAAGTAGAGCTTTGCTTGAGTATCTGTTTGAAAATGCTGATAGTAGCAGTCCCTGTCACCAGCACTGTGACTGCAATCTCCAGAGCCCGATGTTGGGGCAAGCAGGAGTGTAGGAATTGAGTACTCAACTTCAGAGGGCAAAGGAAGCACATCAGGAACTGATCTCTGGGTGTTTGGCTGTAGCCCAGGGTGTGCCAGATTGTCTGACCAAATTGGTTATGAAAGAAAATGTGTGCCTCAGCCTCGTAATGCTTGTCTGATCAAGGAAGGTCCTTGCAATAGGTGCCCTACAAGCAATGCTACTGTGTCCTAGCTTTCTCGGGGGTCTGGAACCAAATGGCAAGCATCACAGTGCTCTCCAAAGGGAAAAGAATTTGGCTTCTGCTCTGAGTGCTGGGCGGTGTTAGAGAGCACGTCAGCTTCTTGTCCTCACCAAACCCAGAAGAGCAGCTTTCCCTTCCGCAGGGAAGTGGGAGGAGAAGCAGCTGCATGTTTTAAGGGTTATTGTTTTCTCCCTGAGATACAAGGGGAAAGTATCTATTTTGAGGCAGTCCCACAGATCTCACCAGTAAAAGCTCTAGCTGTTCAGGGATGTCTCTGACACACCACAGATCAGTTACTCTTGTGTAATTTTGCCTTCTCTCCAGCGGTGGCCAAAGTCCTCTGCCAAACCTATTTGCAGTTTCTCCCCGCTTCTTTTCTAACTGAAAGTTCCTACAGGGATGTTTTGGGTTCTGTATTGCAAAAGTTTTCTAAGGCACAGCATGCCCACCTTCCTATATCTTTGTCAAGCCTTATCTAATCCTTTTAGTAAACAGCCTGCCGTTGGTTCTCCGAGGGCTGTAAATACAAGCTGTTAGACCATTCTGTGGGGTTGGATCTCGGGGGGAATGTGTGTTATGTAAAGGCCCATGAAAGCATCTTGGTTCTATTAAAACCTTTCTTCAGTGAGAGTTGCTTAGGTGAATAGAGTAATGCAAAGGAGAAGAATTTGGGCCATTGCTATGAACACTCCCTTTTGGTTCTCCTGCGCTGGTGATTATGTCTGTGGACATGTCTGGATCCCCAGAGGTTCTCCTGGAACGTCTCCTTTGGCCTCCTCTGGAACAGTGTACAGGCATTTGTGAAAACAAATGCAAAATGGGCAAATCAAAATGTACTCCTGGAGCTTGGGGGCAGAGAGCGAGCTTTGTGGCTCTCTTGTCAGGTTTAGGAGTACTGCCAGGAGACGCAATATTCCTGTCTGAGGTTACAGAAGCCAGGTAAACTGTTTGAAGACAACCTATCTTGTTTGTGAATAGGTTTTTAAAGCAGCAGATGGCAGCTGATGGATCTCTAGGTGAACTGGTGAAGTCTGTGTCCATTGGTGTTCTTGCTCAGTTATGAAGGATGGGAAATCCATATGCCACCACCTCTTGTCCTTGTGGACCACGTAAGTAACAATATAATCCAGAGCGTACCAGTGGAATGACAGCGGATAAGGATGAGATTACTTAGATGTGCTATTTAAATCTCCTTTCCTTATAACGTGGTAAGCAAAGTATTGGGGATTTGCGATGGGTTGATTTCTCTGGGCTCCTAGAGAAATCTAGATGGGCTCCTAGATACCAACAGTAGCTCAGAGAACTCCTACACCCAGAGACCTACATCCTCACTCTTCTTCCTGTTTTTCAGGTGGGACCAGTTTTCAGAAACTCACTTGTCTGCTCTGGGGTACAAGGCAGAGGAAAGCCACCAAAAGCTGGTGCTTGCCTGCAGCAAGTGCCAAAGATGACAAAGCAATTGGGCAATAGCTGACTGTGCTGTTCAGCCAGAAGGATGGGACTATCCCAGAGGGAATTCACCAGGGCTGGCTCCACTCTCCATTCACCTCTTCTCCAGCCTCCTTGCCCTCTGCTGTAACTCTTGCGTCCTTCTGGGAATATTAATGTTTTGTTTCTTCCAGTCAGAAGCAGGTTCATCCCAGGACTGCTTATCGAGGCACGGCAACGTGTAGGACAGACAGCAACAGGCGGCTGTG